TCATGGCTCCAGCCTCACCTCATGGCCAAAGAGACCGCCTTCTAGGCCGTCCCAACTTATATAGCTCCTGTGACCTCATCCACCTGGGCCAGTGGAGGAGCTCCGGTTGGCTGTCGGCCAACCCATTTGAAATACCTCACTTGTTACCGGGCAGATTCCAGCTCCCCAGGTAGAAAGCCCTTACCCAGGTACCAGTCACGTAGGCAGAGGGAGCAGGTTTCCCCCCCCCTCAGGAATGCAGCCAGCTCAAGTTCCCTAAAGAGACAGGGTAAAGGTGTGGTCTCCTCTGCTGAGCCCCCCCTACTCAAATGGTCACAGCACAGAGATATTATCACAGTGTCAAAGGGCAGAGATTTTGGGGAGAAACCAAGGTGGCTTTCTGCTACACCCTTCACTGTTGCTAAATTCATGGTGGAAACAGACGTCGCTTTTGTGCCACCATAAAAATGTTCATGATGGTGCAGCAGCCAAACAAACAGACATCCCTGTCCTTTGCCACACCACAAATGCCCCCAGTTTGTGGCTGCGATAAAGTTTGTATCCATTTGTAACTCTTTAGCAGCAGGAGTAGATTCATTTTATGGCATGAGAGCACAGACTGCTTGGGGCTGCCTGCACTCTCCAGCCTCCCCAGGCAGGTGCTCTGGGGCCTTGAGGGACTTGGTCCTGCACACTCTGGGAAAGTCTGCGCAGGACTAGGCCCTTCAAGCCCTGGGAGCCCCTGCCCAGCTTTCCCTGCTTATTGAGAAACGTCCCCAGGATCTCCAGGTCATTTGTTGGTATGCGGGAAAAGTCACTTACCCAGACACACCCCCAGACAGCCCAGGAGGTAAGTGGGGAAAGCCAACCAGGCACTCCCAGGAGCCCTGGGAGACCACATTGCCCATCCTCCAGCAGCATCAACGGGCAAGATGAAGGACAACGTGTGTTTTGCCCAGTGAAGCAGATCACCTGAGCTGGGACAGCTGAGCCACTTCATATGGTGACACCTACTTCCAGCATCAGCATCTGCTTTGAGTTTGCTGGGATGGCAGCACTTACTGCCTGCTACTGTTCATTTCTATCGTGGTAGCACCCAGACACAGCCCCCAGTAGGACTGGGAATACTATCACAATTAGGATCCTGGAAATACTAGCAGGCTGATGAAGCCATCCTCTTGGCCCTGCTTGGAGTATTTGGCCCAGCATCCTCAGTTAGCATATTGCATGTCTAATGGCAGCACGCAAAGCTCTGCCGTGCAGGTGGGAGGACGCAGCCACGTCCCTAATTCAGCCTGTGGGGGTTATCTTAAACAAATCTCTCCTCACAGATGCACTGTGTCTGACTAATCCTTCCTGTGAATAATCGTTATACAACACAATTAGCAGACAGTGTCTGACCTGCATAGTTTTAATCCTGCATGTGGGCTGAAAATCAATAGTCTGCTAGAGATGTGCTGATGCTACTAGGAAACCAGCTCCTCTCCGTATACCACAGCGAAGCCACGCTGAAAGCAAAAAGTGTTGCTAAACAGTGGTAGGGGAATTGTTGGCCCTCCTTTTGCTTCTGGTATCTGGGGAGGTGGGGGTTCATCGCAGGCATTGGGTGTTGGCCCCAGCAAAGCCTGGGGATTTTGCCTAGGATGTGCCAATGCTACTGTTAGGATTTTAAAATCCCAGAGATTCTTCACCAGAGGGTCTTGCCCCTCCAATTGCCACTGTTGGGGTCAGGAAGGAATCCTACCTGACGGTCAGATTGGCACGGGTTGTGCAAGTTACGTGCCTTTCTCTGAATCAGGGGACAGACCTCTTCCTTGCATCTCCTGAGCATATTTTAGCACACTGCAAGGGTGTTTCAGAAGCCAACGGCCAAATGGCTGCTCACGCTGCATGCCTGTGACAAACTCGAAACACTATGCACAGCGGAAGTCTGTGCTCAGATGAACTTGCAGCGTTGCAACTTAAAAGATCATATAAGATTTTTCCCTTGAAACAGAACTATTGTAAGAGGAAACTTCAGGAACTAAGGGAAATTGCCATTCGTGTCCAAAACACCCTTGCACTTCCTGGCCATGCAGTGGCAGGACACTGACAGTGCCCTCACCTGCCTGCCATACCGGTAGCAAGTAGTTTTGGCCCTTATGCCCGGTAGTTGTGCATGAGGCTTGTTCCCAATGTTTTTTAAGAACAGGATGGACCAACATTTGTCCAGGATGGGCTTGTTGGGGCTGATCCTGCCTTGAGTAGAGGGCTGGACCAGCTGCCCTCTTGAGGTCCCTGCCACCCCAACTTTCCTATGACTCCATTAAGCCTCTGCTGAGTTAACAGACATACCTGCCGTGTAAAAATCTGGCCCTGCCTGTTTCCACCTCGGCATCTCTCATGTTCGCCTTTCGTTGTGTTCCTTCTCTTCCAGATCTGGAGTCAAACATTGTATGCAACTACTCAAGTCTTACATCGGTGCTGGCCCGACCGTACAACGGCACCAAGTCTGTTTGCAAGAACAAAAGAACAAAAGTGCAAGGGTCACTTTATGCATTCTTTAGTGTTTTTTTGTAAAAGCTGCTTTTTTCTAATGTTCTGCCTCTCTTTCCTCCCCTGCCCCCTAAACCCACACACATCGCGTAACACCATGTACTGACACTGAGCAATAGTCATGGTTTCTCTCTGGTCCTATCATTTTGAAGCTCAGAAAGTTCACCTGTCAAAAATACCCAGTTCTGTGGTGCAAAGATGCCCGGGTCTTGTTTTGTTTGTTCGTATGGGTTTTCTCGGGTTTTTTATTTCTGTTGTTGTCGTTGACAAGAGTCTAGATTTTATTTGACTAGTGAGGGCGGTTGATGTTCAGGGTACTATGTGAAAAGCACAGCGCTGGTAGGCAAGTTTATTCCAATTTGGTTTCCTTCTTTTTTAGGTTAATAATATAAATTATTTAATCTTCCATAACATATTACGAGAAAATTGGTGTCTTCCAGATAGCTGTTATGATAGACTATAATTCATTACCTGCATTGAAATACCCAGCACATCCCTTGTTTGTAGAGTGAGAAACTATAAATATTAGCAGCATAACATGCACGCATCTTAGGAGACAGGTTGACCGGTTGCTACCAGGGCTTTGGTCTGCTTTTGGAAACAGGGAGAATGCATTTCATGGGATGGGAAGGGAGAGGTGGAGAGGAGATGCACAGAGCATAGGAGCTGCATCTTGCTGAGTTAACAGACATACCCCCTGTCCCAATCCGGGTCATTTTCATCATGTAATAAAATCAGACAGCTCCTTCCCATTTGGTAGGAAGCTGCAGCTTGCTGACAGATGTATGCTGGGCCGCTGTAAAAAGGAAACAAAGGGATTTCCAGTTATTAGTCATGAGAGCCTCTCGAGGATCCAGCAATTGGGGAAAAACAAGATTGGATAAGGCGAGGGAGAAGAGCGTCTCGGCAGAGCTGCGGAGAATAGAGGCTGCTTTGCCCTGCACCTACTCTGGGCACAGACTCCCCAGCGCAAGGCTTGTGACTAGACTGAGCTGCTTTCTAGCTCAGACTCCCTTGGGGGACATTGATATCATGGTGTAATTTGGGTTTTAAGAGCAGGCAGAGGTGTCTCCACTTGCATTGATTGCTAATTGAGCGTAACTGTGCTACAGCTAGGCCAGTCCCAACAGAAACTCCTGGGTCATCGTTTCCTTCCGCCCACAGTTTAACTCTGTAGGAGTCGCGGGGAGAGCTTGGCCTGAGCACAGTTTTGCGCTGTCGAGAATGCGGCACTACAAAGGTGCACTTGCCAGCAGGTGGGATCCAGGGGGATGGAGATCGTGCTGCTTTGAAGGTAAAAGATGAGGGAAAATGGGGACTAGCATGAAGCAATAGCAATAAATTTGTTGCCTTTCCAGCTGTAAGGCATGTCACCGGAAAGGGCGGTACTCAGCCATTTACTTTGGCTTCGAAACTAAGGGCAGCAGGTTTGCCCAGCTGTTGGGTATAGATCTGCACGTGGATGCCCAAGAGACGACGCGCTCTTGTAGTCGCCCAGGCCTAGTGCGCAATGCGTTGGGTTTTTGCAAAGCGTCTGAGCAGAGCAATAAAGTTTGGCAGTGGGGCAGGGGGGGAAGGAGGAGCGAATGATGTTGAAGGGAAATTAGATTTTTTGGTTTGGAACTATTATTCCTAAACCCAGCACAAAGGGAGAAATTTTAGAGAAATGCTTCTTTTCTTTGCCTCGAGTTGTGCCAAAAGAGTTGTGTGCAGCTAACAGTAGGTCTGTCGCCGTGACTTCTCTTGGGCGGCAGGTCAGTGGCAACGGGGCAATCTATTTTTTTTTTTTTTTTTTAATAGTAAGCATTTAAGTCAAACCCAGCCATATCAATGGGGCCGCCAATAGGTCTGGCCTCCATACCCAGCCCAAGCGAGTGGTGTTACCCGATCGTTGTCCGACGTCTGTGCTAACTGCTGTGCTCTGTCCTGTGTATGCCGGTCTCTTCGAATCTCACTAGGGATAGCACAAGAGTGACCCATGCAAGGGCCCTGCTCGCCACTCTTCTTAGGCTTCTCCCCAGACTACATTATCTGCGTTTTTGATGTCAGATCCTAGAGTCTTTTTAAACGCACATAAAACCACCACGTCTTTACACCACTGGTTCAGCACCTGTGGGGGATTATGTGAGCGCTTAAGGATTTCCCAGCCTGGTGCCTGCAGTTTTCCTTGAGGAAACTCAGTGCAGGGAGCGTGGCCGTGACCGGGCGCTTTGACTCTTCTTTCCCAACCACTTTTTTTTTTTTAATCTTGGTCTTCGATCCAGTGAAGCAGCGGCATCAGCAACGCCGCGCCATGCTTTTTATATTTTCAGAAGGAACTCGTTTTATACTAGCCGAGCTCTGATCCACCTTCTCCCCCCACGCGTTCGGCCAGCAAACCAGTAAAAAACCCTCACCCACGTTTCAGTCCCTTGTTGGGGGGTGGCTTCTCCAACCCAGTGCTGCAGGGGATGGGAAAGCAACATTTCATAGGGATTAACACTGTGTGGTACTTTGTGTTGCACTGTGCTTTGGTAAAGAAAAAGGAAAAGGAGTGGGGAGGAAATGGAAATATTCCCAGTGTTGACCTGTGTCGGCTTCGCAAGGTCCTCCTGTCTTCAGGTTAGGACATCGAGGGAATCGGGTGTTTTCAACTGGTGTAACAACTTGCTGCTTTTGCTGTTTGTAGCACACTGAAATTAAATCTAGACAACGTCCCCCTAAACAAGATGGGGATATAAGAGCGCTCAAATACCCTTCTTTGCTCTTGCTCTTTTGTGGGTCTCACATTAAAGCGGCTACATCTCAAAATTGATCTGCCAGTAATGTTTAAATATGCTGCACTGAGCACACACCATAGAATAAGTTGTGCTTGTGAACATAGTGGGAGGTGAAGTGACACAGTCCCAGCCCCCTTTTTTCATCCTGCTTTGGGCTCTGCAAACAAGGGTCGCTCCAGACACCTCTCTGGGTTGCTGCTGTTCTTCCTGTATATCACAATCGATTCGCCCTTCCGCCTCTTGACGAAGGACCCTGGAAATGGCGCTCTCCCTTCCCTTTCCTTTCCCGAAAGAAAATGCCAGGCTTTTTATTAGAGAGAGAGAGAGAAGGTACGACATGTGTACTACAGGTTGACAAGAAAAGCCTTCTCCTCCACCTTCAGGTTTTCTCAGAGGACTGTTAACTCCCCCAAATCAAAGTTCTGCCTTTCGGCATCGAAGTTTTGAAAGCTGTTCAGGCCTCTGTTGGACCTGTTTTGCACGGATAATAATGAAGGCCCTAAAGAAAAAGGGATAGGGCCTTTATGAAGCAGAGAGATGCACCATTATGATCCCTGTTGATGAGATCTGTTGAGGTTTGGGGTTTTCTTTTCCCTTCTTGGCTTGGATGAGGAGCAGACCTGCTGCATACGACCATGTTACGCAGGGGCTGAGAGGCTCACTGGCACCCTGGGAGTAGAGAGACATAGAGTCGGCTTGTGGGCAAATAGCATTGACTCACCACCATCTTGCCAAGGCTGTCAGCATCTATTTTTGGATTTTCCAATGTAGCAGGACTATTTGAAGCCCAACCTTGAGCAGTCACCTGAACAGGTAAACCTCAGAGGGCTCTTCCCGGTGACTTGGCCGTCTCTGTTTTGACTAGTGCAGCACAGGCCATTGGGCTGCGGGACCTGGTCATGGATGCAACAGTTTGCCCCAACCCTTTTGCCTCGAAGATGGTCAGGCCTTACAGGAATGGCCACAGATGCCCACCCCCTCCCCTTCTTCTCCCCGCTCCATGATGTACAAGGGGTCAGAATCTGAACCTGGGCCCAAATGTTGCAACACGTCCTTTTTCCTTTAACAAGGGCCTCCACTAAAACACCAGCGGCACAGTTCACATGGACTGCGGACCCCCAGCTTGTGACGTGGGCTGGATTTTAATTCCCAAGATACCTGGCTTCTCCACTGGAGCCTCGCTGTCTTGCAATCCTTTAGGATCATCCCATTAGTCAAGGATCCTCTCTGGCAGGCATCTGCTGAGCAGTAGGCTACTGCAACCATAGTTGTAGGAGAAACGGGTATTGTAAACCTGTTTCAAGCAAGTTGCTGCTTTTGTAGGGAACAGAAACATCCTGCACATTTACCAGTACAAGCATTTCTTTGGCCTAGCCCTCCAAAGGGATCCTGTGTCCTTTCCATGTGATGTGGCCGCTGAAATCACGAGACCACGTAGGTTGCTTTTATTCTCTCTAGGCTCCCAATTTCTTCCCCCTTTTTCTGCTCATGAATGCTTTCTCTGCTGCAAATACTGCCGTGTTTAGCTGTTTCAGGCATCATGTTAGATAAGAGCTTGAGGGTTTCTGTTATAACACAGAAAGTAGAAAGCAGCCATCACCGAAAGGTGGATTTGTCAGGTGGCCATCGCCTAGGGCAAGGGAGAGTGCCAGGAACGCAGTGTGGACGCGCCTGCGTCTACAAGAGCCCCAGTGTCCTGCAGATCAGGAACAGGAGGTCGGGGGGAGTCTGCTCTTCCATAGTGTCTGTTCGTGCTCTCAGCCCTGGGGTAAATGTTTTTTGCTCTCCTCTGTATTTTGCTGGGCTTTTTACATACATGGCTGTGGTGTCAGCTGAGTAGTGCGAGATGCCTGTTAAAAAGCTTCTGCCCATTAGCCACCTGGGCAGGGACGGAGGCTGGGAAGGACCGAGAGCTTTTGAGGGGACTTGCAGAAAAGCCTGGGGCTCCCGAAGTATTCGGCAATGCCCTAAATGCTACTGTGGCTGGACAATGTAGATAGATAAAGAGGGGCTACTCACCTCCAGCCTGGCTCCTACCATCCCTCGTCCCCTTTCAGATTCCCTTTGAATCAGCAACCGGGGTTAAAGTCCAACAGCAAGAAATCCCTGCAGCCCACCCCTTAGTGGAAATAAGTTCACGGTCAAATCCACAACGAGATCACTTGGAGCTGGTGTGTATCTCGTGTGCAGTGGTGCAGGCTCGCAGAGCTTCACCCAGCTGCCCTGGCTACCCTCTGGGTTGGTGCATGGCAGCGAGGTGGCAGACTCTGCTGTGGCACATCCACGTCGGCTTCTGAAGTGGCGGCCTCTTGTTGGAGGAATGAAATAGCAAACCGTTAGTAGAGGGGCTACAAAACCACAGGAGAGCCAAACCTCTACAGAGCCTTGGACGCAGCAACTAGAGAGTCGGAGGTGCCAAGAGGCAGTTAGATTGTAGGACCACATCCATTTCCACCCAACCAAAGCGCAAGACTGAGCTTTGTAGCTGCCCGGTCAAACAAGCTGAGAAGTAGCCACCCAGGGCTTTTTCTGTAAAGGCCCATAAGCATTTTCTCTCTCTTGAGCATATCAGTGCTGTGAAGTGGGATTGCAGCAGGGTGCTGATTAACCTGTGTTTGCATGGGCTCTGTCAGCGGCGCTGGGTGCTGCGGTATCAGATCCACTGGTCGCCTGTGAGGCATCCTAGAGACCTTCCAGGGCCGCGTTTGAAAGAGGAGTCTGGGTGGGTACAAGGCCAAGACACATTGCAGAGCGAGCTGAAGCACCTGGCACAGGACCTGCCTGTGCTGGTTTAAGTCCTCTTATTGCTGGGAAGATACACCTAGGGATAGAAAACCTTCCCTAACACACCAGAACCCAGTCATACTTTGTGGGGAGGAGGCAGAGCTCACAGGGCAGCAGATGGGCGACTGGAATGAGGAGCGATCGGCCTAATCCTGGTTCCAGTGCGGCACTCGGGACTTGGGCAGGAGCACTGTGAAGTGGTTGCATGCACCGCTTCATGGTAAGAGGCAGGGAAGTCTCTACCCTGCGTAGGGACGTGGGAG